CGGAAAAAGTCATTAATTAATTGTGATTATGTCAATTCTGTTTTAAATTATTTTTTTTGTCAATTGACTCCTAAATTTTTTGTATTTGTACCAATTCGGTTCATCCGGCCGGCGCTGACGTGGACTTCGGTCATTCTACGTACCACCGTTATCACTGATGTAAATAATTTTTAATAGTATTTTAATATTTTTTTCGAATATGTTTTTTCTTCCATTCTTTTTCTCTCTCTAACCGGTCGCTCGAGCCTTGCCTAGGCCGCTCGTTGGGCTAGCAAGGGTCGAGCCTTGCCAGCCATGGAGGTCGTGCCTCACCCATGGCCGGTGAGACTTGATCCTTGCTAGCCTAGCCATGGCGAGGCTCGCCCGAGGCCGGCGAGGTCTCGCCAATCGTCGGACCTTGGCGACCGGCTAGAGAAAGAAGAGGAAGGGAAGAAAAAAAGAAAGAAAAAAAATGAAAAATAATAATAATATATTATTAAGAATTGTCCATGTCACTATCGGCGGTGCCACGTAAGACGCCCAGCGTCCATGTCAGTGTTGGCCGGATAAACTGAATTGGCACAAATGCAAAAGGTTTAGAACTCAATTGACAAAAAGAAAAAAAAGATTTAGAATTGAATTGTCACAATTGCAATAAGTTTATAACTTTTTTGGTAATTTTCCCATGAAACAGTGACCAAGATCAATCACATTGCTCGGAATCCGCGACTGTCCGTACGCTTTACGAGATTATACGCGGAATCTTGGGGGGTTTTTGCCATATGGCCGGTTCGATTCGAGAGTGAATCACGAGTTTCGGCTGAGCCGCCGTGCTAAACAACCTTACATGCGACTTATGCCCGTCGGAGTTTAGTGCTCGCCCCATATATTCGGGAAATGAAAGGAAAACGCGTACGAATTCGAATTTTTCGCAAGAAAAGGAGGCGGGGAAATTTTCCGATTTCTTTTTTTTTTCTGTATTTTTCTCTCTCTTAACTTTCCTCAACCCTACTCCCGAAAATTAAATTTTTTATATCATATGACTAAATCGAAATTTCCCGTCATAAAAAGGTCACAAAAAAAAAGAAAAATAAATAAATAAAGGAGCTGCTTCAGAATTAGCTGAGTCCCACTTTTAGACCAGACACAAACAAGCAAGGACCGAAGACAGAGAAAGAGGAGGCCATGACCAACGGCTACATCTTTCGGACAAGCTGTCACCGTTGATCTTCGTGGCACGCCATATAATTTTCAACACTTTCGTATTTATTACGTCACCGACAAACCCCTTTACCTGTCATTTTCGTCCGGTCGATTAATTCATTTAATTTATTAATCCCACCCTATCTAATCACAATTTTTTTTTAGAGTTAATACTGCGAAAAACCCTAAACTGATATACCCGTGACAATTTTATCCAGAATTAATTTTTTGACCACCAAAAATCTCAAACTTGTACACCTGTGATAATTTTATCCTGTGGTAGTTTCCGTTAAATTTTACTGTTAAATTATTTTGTTAAATGACACTCAGTAGTTGACGGATATATCGGTTTTGGATTTTACCCTCTATTTATCACAGGTGTATCAGTTTGTGATTTTTTTTTTTGCATTAATCCAATTTAACTGAAATTAACGGAGGGTAAATTTATCGCAAATGTATCCGTTTGGGATTTTTTGTGGTAAAAAAATTAGTTTGGTATAAAATTGTCACGGGTGTTTTAATTTAAGATTTTTTGTGGTCAAAAAATTAATTTGTGATAAATCTATCGCATGTGTATTAATTTGAGATTTTTCGTGATATTAATTTTTTTTTAATCAGGTTTCCCATTTCAAACCCATTGCTCGGGCGACTCGTGTCCTTCCTTCCTCATCGAGCGTTTGTCGTACTACATGGGGAGCCGGACACCGGCATTTGGCACGGATGGTGGTTAATTAATTAAAGTACACAAGAACAAATTTTCACCAACTATTTTATGCTGAGTGCTTAATTCTATATCGCTATCACGGTTCTATCTTCCCGACAATGACGGCATAATTTTATAATTTGCAGTTGCGTGCACCAAACCCCCGCAAATAATGAATCATGAGAGCCAGGTTTTGTGGGGGGGACCCCATCTAACTTTCTTTTTTTGCGAAGCTATTATTCCGGTACACGTCGTAATGTTTTATTCTCTCTTAAAAATTGAAACCTGATACACATGTTCGGTAATCAGTACACGAATGATGGCGATTCTTTTCATTAATAGCGGATTTTCGATCAGGGTTCGTCCATATAATGCAATCTGAATATCTCGATAATAGATACAACGCGCATCTCGTCCAATCTCGAATCTTTTCCCATACTGTATTACTGCGTGGGCTTCGATTTGCGAGCGGGAAATTCTTCACTTTCAAGTTATCATCTCGTTGCCGACGACGACGACACGTCATTGCACCTCAACATCGTCGCTTCACCGAGGGGTAATTGACGCTCGCTTGATGGCGATTCTTGCGAAGGGATTCTTTTCTTTAAGAGCGGATTTTCGACTAGAGTTCATCGGTTAACGCAATCCGAATATCTTAATAACGGATACAATGCGCATCTCGTTCGATCTTGAATCTTTTCCCTGATCGCATTACCGTGTGGGCTTCGATCTGCGAGCGGTAAATTCTTCACTTTCAAGTTCTCATCTCGTCTCCCAATGCTACGACATGTCGCTGTGCTTTAACATCGTTGCTTCATCGAGGAGTGATTGGCGCTCGCTCCCTGAACCGAACCTGAAACCACACCCTTCGAGCTCAAAAGGGAAAAAAATCACTTTCCATCTAGACTCCTTAATCTTACTCGATCGTATTACGAGTGGGCTTCGATCTGCGAGCGCGAAATTCTTCACTTTCGAGTTCTCATCTCGTCTCCCAATGCTACGACATGTCGCTGTACTTTAACATCGTTGCTTCATCAAGGAGTGATTGGCGCTCGCTCCCTGAACCGAACCTGAAACCACACCCTTCAAGCTCAAAAGGGAAAAAAATCACTTTCCATCTAGACTCCTTAATCTTACTCGGGCGTGGCCCATGATATGTTGCGGCCATGACCCGCTAACATATGCCTTTCAAACGAAGCGACGCCAATACTCTCGATCGCTAGTTTAATCTATGGATGAATTAAAAACTAAAATGGAGCCTCTCCAACCCCATCTTTTGTTACGTGGTTCCTTTAGTGGTGGGTCATCTAACTCAGCCAAATTCAATGCGCGACCAAATAATTTCCCTAATCGCATTCAAACTAATTTGATGGGTCAAAGCGCAATATATCCGATCCCGTGTCCTCGTCGAAGGACAAAAACGAGGCTCGCAAACCTTGATTGTTTCAGGGTTTTGTTGTTACGTGGACAACAACTTAATCAAATTTTCAATTTCTGATTTTGTTGTCGCTTGGTGTTGCGCGATTGATGAACGCGTGTCGTTTTGTGTTTTGGTCGCATAATGCAAGCAGCTACGGCAACAGACAGACGTGCCCGTTGATTGAGGGCAGGAGTGGTGCGCCACGCACATTCTCTTCCGCCACATTTCAATTGAAAAATGTCGCTTTTGTTGACAGAAGAAGAGAGAACTGGAAACTTAGGTATGGACCGACCTTAAATTACTGTTTGTGAAGAGGACAGAAAACTGGGAATTTCTCTCTCTCTCTTGTGTCGGCCTCCCTAATTCCTCCTGGTTTTATTTCTTTATCTGTTCGTATTAAGGTAAAATTATTTCTTTTTGTTTACTCGATTTCGTCTCGAGTCTGACAAATTCGGGAGCATTAGCATGGATAAGCTGAAAGAAGCCTTGTTTATGACGAATTAACGAGGGTACCGAGGCAACATGGTGCAGACAAAATGTCAGAACGGCACTGTTCTGTAACGATAGGAGGAGAAGAGGGGGGTTCGAAATGGAAAGTTGAAGCAAAAGAAGGGGCAAAAACAGAAATAGGAGAAAGCTGGATACGTTAGAACGACGAAGAAGAAGTAGTGCCATCCCACCTACATCTTCTCTGGCACCGACGCTGACTATCAACAACACTCCTCCCCACACCCACCCGGCAAAGAGTTTTTCAACGCCCGCGTGTTTCTGGGTTTTTGGTCTCACTCCTAACGTAATCTAGTCTCGCGGACGGGTAGATCTAACTCGGTTTCTTTCTGGGTCAAAGATCTACGCTTTTCTTGAGTCGGATGGAGAACGGTAACGGGTGCAGATCAAGATTGTTTCTTTGTGGGAGATTACATGGACATGGACATGGACACGGAGACGATGAAAGGGGGGGTTCGAATGTGAACAAGGGGTTCGTTCTATAATGCGTACAAGAGTCTCGTGACTCTCTCCCGTAACCATGGATGGATTGGGGCCAGCTTGCAGGAGCGTGAAAACAGGGGAAGATGAGTTCATCTGATCCCCCTGTTTTTTGACCATGCTGTTCTCGGTTAAAAGAAAGACGTCGGCTCGGTCTTCAAGATCCGTATTGTTATTCCTTCTGCCAGCTCCTGTGAAAGCTACCAATACGATATGCCCCACTCTAAATTTCGATTTTTTTAAAAGTGAATAAGACGTAAAGCGTGTGATCCTTGTGAAAGCTACACATCCACTAGACTTTTCTTTTTTGCTCTGTCAATGGATTTCACTGTTTTTTCTTTTTACGGGTTAACAAGAAAGGAAACAAAATCGGCCTCCCGGACAGACAATATACGTGGCCATACACGCACAGTAACGCTCACCCACGAAAGCTTTCACCTTTCCTTTTCTGTATTTGTACATTTAATATTTGAGAAAGTCAGAAAAACGTTTCATAAATATTGGAGGGGAATTAACATAATATGATGGAAATGAGTTTTTAAGGACCTTTTTTTCTGTGGCTTTGGATTCTTCTGGCAATTCGTGCCTGCCAGCTCTTTCCCTTGACACGGCTGAACAGGTATAAAATATGTAATTATTATATATCTATATATTACGGGAGAAAAAGATTAATAAGAAAAGGGCTGATTGATACAGCCTCTTTGGTTCTTTTGGGTCAGTGATTTTGGGGAGAGAGGGAGAGAGAGAGAGAGAGAGAGGGAGAGAGAGTCATCAAGAACACTTGAGAGGAGTGATGGAGAGTGTGAGGAGGAGGAAGAAGAAGATGATGTCGGTGTTCTTGATAGTGCTTGAAGTCTGCATTCTGGGCTGTACATTCACTTCCATCAATGCTGATACAGATCCGTCTGACGGTGAGCATCAACCCCATCTTCTTTCTTTTCTTTTGCAGCTGAAAGCTCCTCTCATGTCTCACTGCTCTGCAATCTGCAATATTATCTTTCTTTCCATAATCTACCTTTTTATAAAAAGATATTAATTCTTTCTGGGTCACTGGATCTTGCTTCTGTGTTGAAAAATTTGCTTAATTCATCACTCACTGAGCTTTTTGCCTTTTCATATCCCTGGATTTGTCTGTTGTACACTGCTTTGGAGGGCAGATCAGATCGAAGGATTTTTTTAGAGCCAGCTGATAGTGAAGCAAAGTTGGTTCTTTTGGGAGTTCAGATAAATTTGGTAATATTGAGCACAGTTATGACTGCAGGCTCATTAAGGAAGTGATGTGTATCGGTGTAAATGTCAAATACTGACTCATGTTTAGATAATCGGCCTATTATTGTTATCAAACTCGCTGAATTTCGAACTCAGGTGGGAGTTTGCTTGGTTGATGCTTGAATGGAACTTGTGGCCAATTGTCAGACGACTCCGTCTATAATGAAAGATATAGAATTAGGTTATTCTTTAAGGATAGGGAGTGACGATATGAAAATATGGGTTTTGAGGCCATTCAGAATTTGTACTGAATCCTGCTAATGGTTTTGGCTGAGACTCGCAGTTTGTGCTGAAAGGTTCAACATGGCACATCATCTTCTCCGGTTTGATGAGATTTGATGTCAATTGACACTATTGCTGCAGTATAATAAACTTGAAGTGAAGTATATAAGAAAATTAGCAAAGAATTTTACATTCGGCGGTCAGAATGTCGACTCATATATTCTCGGAATATAATTTGTGGAAGTGAAATAGAGTAGAAGTGCAATAGGCGTTCTCATACTCCGTCTTGTTACCTTCAGAAATGCTGTTTTACCTGTCGAATGATTTTGACACGTTTCCTAGAATTCATAATTTTTATTGACAGCAGGTCGGACTTTATGATTGACTTTGCATTGCTGAATCAAAGCATGTCTGAGAAATTCTCAGTTTGACAGCAAATAATTTACTAATCAATTTGATATCATATTCTGGTTCAATCTTACACCGATTAATTTTTCTGCTTGTGTTTCGTCCGATGCACAGCTGCTGCTTTACAGGAGATGTATAGCTATCTAAACCAACCTTCTCAACTGACTCAATGGAGTGCCAGTGGTGGCGATCCATGTGGACAGTCGTGGAAAGGCATTACTTGCTCGGGCTCCAGGGTCACTGAAATGTGAAATTCTAAAATCGACCTTGATTCATCTTTAGTTATATCTATGCAGTTTCCGATCTCTAATATGTGCAGTGCTGTCATCTTTTGTCAGTAAATTACCAGGTCTTAGCCTCTCTGGGTTGGTTGGTTACAAGCTCCAAAGCATGACATCAGTGACAAATCTGTAAGATAGATGGCCTAATTTGCTCTGCTTAAACCGGTTATCAAACAAAATGTTTCATAAAGTGTTGTTCTTTCACAGAGATCTCAGCAATAACAATCTTGGAGGACAGCTACCTTATCAAATTCCTCTAAATGTGCAAAGATTGTATGTTAATTGTGCCCTTCATTTTCTGTCTTCTCATTTCCTTTTTCTTTTTAAATGCTTTTTGTATCTGCCATTTTTATCTTTCTGACCTGAAGTGGTTGCATTCATATTTTTTTTTTCGTGCAGAAACCTTGCTAATAATAACTTTAATGGGCAAATCCCGTGGTCTATTGCTCAACTGACCTCTCTTAAGTACCTGTAAGTAGACTCGATCCTGTTATCTGTGGTCTGTACTGTTGGAATATATAACTTAGGATCTCTTTTTGTTGAACTGTAGAAACCTTGGCCACAATCAGCTGCAAGGTTCATTGAACGATATGTTTGGACAGCTTTCTTCCCTCGCCACCCTGTGAGATTCTTTTCTTATCTACGCTTATTTCGGTGGACTGCAAAAACTTACTTTTGCTTAACTGAGGATGTCGAAGCAGTTATCCATCCTCCTTTAATTAATTAATTAATTAATCATCGGCATTCATGTTTACATAAATTAGGTTGATGGAGTCTTCAGAGATTTCATTAACCAGAAAGATACTTTCTTTTTTATTTTCTTTTGAACATCCCTTTACAAAGTGTCTAATACCTCCTTGGTTAGTTGATGTAACATTTTTCCTTGTTGGTCTTCTTTGTTGTTTCAGTGATGTCTCTTTTAATCAATTATCCGGTAATCTGCCTCAAAGTATTAGTTCCCTCTCAAGCATGACAACCATGTAAGTGCTGGCCACTGATTTACCTGTAAAAACTTGGTCCATCATCTTGGCGCTTTCCTTACCATCCTCGTTCATCCTTGTAAAGGTACTTGCAAAACAATCAATTCACTGGGGATATAAATGTCCTTGCCAATCTTCCACTCGAAACTCTGTGAGTAACAGTATCGCCGTTGTAAGTTAGCCGCGCATTGATTGTGGCTCCTTAATGAACTGATTTTGCACTTCTGTGTATCTTAGGAACGTCGCAAACAACCAATTTACAGGATGGATACCAGCGCAGCTGAAAAATATTGATCTCCAGTGAGCATCCAACTTTAAGTCAATTCAGTATTTTTCTTTCAAATGGCAACTTCTTTGCATTATGGGCCTGTATCTTCTTGACAGGAAAGGTGGTAACTCTTGGAGCTCAGGCCCTGCACCCCCACCTCCACCTGGTACACCTCCAGCCAGCAAACCGAACCACAATAAGAACTCTGGCTCTGGAAACAGCCCATCAAATGGCGATTCTGGCAGTGGAAGCAAGAAATCGGGAATAGGCGGCGGCGGCGTAGCTGGAATAGTCATATCGATTCTTCTTGTTGGGGCAGTCGTGGCATTCTTTGTTGTGAGGAGAAGATCTCAAAGAAGGCCGGCCTCAGATGTGGAAAAGCTTGATAATCAACCCTTTGCTCCCCTTGCTTCCAGTGAAGTGCAAGGTGATTTATCTGCACCAACTCTACTTGTACACTACCTAATGGGGATTACCACTCATTTGTCTCTCTCCTTGTGTCTACTATAACTCTAGCAGAAATGGCTGATGATCTCGTTTTGAGATTGAGTAGCCGAGTTAACTGCCAGAGAGGTGAACGATGCTAGTGGTCTTTTTTTTCTCATAGACAATTGAGCATTATTTCTCATTTCACAAGTGAAAATATAGAGGCTTCCTGTTTTAGATTAGCTCAGTTACAAGACTAGTAGAAATATTGTCCATTACATTTGGGATTTTGACTTAATACCCCGCCATTGAATATCAGAATATGCTGATCACTAAGAGTTCTGTTAGTGTTAGTGAACTCTTTACATAAATTTTGCTTTGTTAGTAACATCAACAACTATGGACTTGAAGATTGTATCTTCTTCTGGCATTGTCTTCTTATGCACATAATGGTGCTCAGCCTTCCAAATCTTAGTAAACACGAGCATTCCATAATTTTACAAGTAGTATCAGCTAAATAGATTTCTCCTTCAAGTGGTTCGCAGCCCATTGCAAGAGCAACTCGTCCTCCCGATTTTTTACCTGCTTGTGAACATTATCAAGCTTTGACACCATGTCACCTGCCCTTGTTTTTCATTTATAAAACTGGGAAGAATCCATATAAACTGTACATTTGATGCTGTCTGAATAACTAGTAGTGATCATTGTTATTTAGTGGATTTAGCCAAAGTCGATGTCTGGGTTTCTTTGAAGGGTTAACCTGTCTATTTGCTGTATCTTTCTAACTGCCTTTTATTAGATAATTGTAGTCCCTACTGTGTACTGATTTTCTTCAGTATCATACGATGAATAGCAAATGTCTTCCAAATACTTAGCTTGTTCTCTTTGTACTTTTGTGTCTGCATATTTCTCAGAAATGAAGTCCTTTCAGACAACCTCCATAATGAACACAAAATTCGATCCGCCACCGCCAGCCTCAATAAATCTCAAGCCGCCGCCTATTGATCGTCACAAGTCATTCGATGATGAGGATTTTGCAAAGAAGCCTATTCCTGTCAAAAAAGCTATTAAAGTTCCTACGAACTTAACTTCATATTCAATAGCAGACTTGCAGATGGCTACAGGTAGCTTCAGTGTTGATAACCTTCTTGGTGAGGGGTCGTTTGGACGTGTTTATCGGGCTCAATTTGATGATGCGAAGGTTTGCCACTTGCTTACTTTTCTCTTAGGTTTTTTTTAATTTCCTTACCAGCTTTATGATTGATGTTTAGTATGCGAATCAATTGTAAGGCAAATATGACGTGCACTGCAGGAAGAGTACAAACAAGAAGAGATAGAAATGATTAGCATATTTTTAGGAGCCCTGGTAGGCTTACCACCCACCCACTTAATTAGTACGTGCACCCGTACCCTCGTACATGCCTGCGCGTGCGCACGCACAAAGAAAAAACTTTCGGAACTTGCGACCACAATATAACATGCTGCCAGTGTCAACGAGTACCTACATGCTTTGATGTGTGTCACGAACTTTGCTCATCAGTTCTTTTCCTCACTATGATAGGTTCTTGCCGTGAAGAAACTAGATTCAACTGCCCTTCCCAACGAACTATCTGAAGAATTCCTGGAGATAGTTTCAAACATGTCCCAAATGCATCATCCGAATGTGACAGATTTGGTGGGTTATTGCGCGGAGCTTGGGCAACATCTTTTGATATATGAGTTCCATAAAAGTGGGTCTTTACATGAGTTCTTGCATCTATCGGATGAAGATAGCAAGCCATTGACATGGAATACTCGCGTCAAGATTGCTTTGGGAACGGCACGTGCATTAGAGTAAGACTATGTAGTTCATGGGCAAGCTATACACCATGCTTCATAACATACAGTCAACTGAAAACCCAGTTTCCTAAAGTTATGGGTCTTCATTTTCATCTGATGCGGATAACTGTATGCTTCAGGTACCTGCATGAGGTTTGCTCTCCTTCCATAGTTCATAAGAACATCAAGTCCGCAAACATCCTGTTGGATGTGGAGCTCAATCCTCATCTCTCGGATTGCGGATTAGCAACCTTCCTCCCTAACGCTGAACAGGTGAGTTTTCAGCTTTCGGCATAAATGATTTGTTCTAATTTGTGTCCTTGGGTGTGATATCTTGATCTACTTTTAACTGGGAATGGTACAATTTGGATGAACTAGTATCAGAAGTTCCATAAGAATTCCCAGGATGTTCTTTTGGAAAACTTGGCTGAACACATGCTTTTTCTGCAAAACTTGGTGACATTGAAGAGAGCCCGATAATTTTCTCTCACACTCATATAAAAAACGTCCTCGGCATTTCCCTGGAATAACAGTCTCTACCGGACTCCAAGTTCTGTACAATTTCTGTGGTGTGTGTTTAAATAAAAGTAGATCCTTAAGATAATTTCGAAAACTCAGGTTTTCTTTCCCATGCAGATACTGAGCCAAAATGTGGGGTCAGGATACAGTGCTCCGGAGGTTGCAATGTCGGGTCAATATACTCTAAAGAGTGATGTCTACGGTTTTGGAGTAGTCATGTTGGAGCTCCTCACTGGACGTCAACCCTTTGATAGGTGAGATTCACTTTAGAGACTTGTAAAGCTCTCTTATTTGCACCCGAAATTACACTCTTAGTATTACATCGTCAGCTCAAAGAATGCTGTGAGGAGAAAAAGGGTCTCGTATCTGACAGTTAGAATGTTGAAATTTCTGTTGACAGCTCGAGGGGAAGATCTGAACAATCCTTAGTTCGATGGGCTACGCCTCAGCTCCACGACATCGATGCTTTGGCTAAAATGGTTGATCCAGCCCTCAAGGGGCTTTACCCAGTGAAATCCCTCTCCAGATTTGCAGATGTCATCGCTCTTTGCGTGCAGGTAAATTATCTTACTAGTGAAAGGAAGCTGAAATTTCCTCTTAAAAGGTTTAGGAGTCCCCTTTTTTTTGGCGCTACGATGATATTGATCGTCGTGTCGATGAGTTGGCGCAGGCGGAGCCAGAGTTCCGACCACCGATGTCCGAGGTGGTGCAAGCATTGGTTCGATTAGTCCAACGGGCGAACATGAGCAAGAGAACCTTCGGGAACGAGCAGAGGGCATCCCAAAGACCCGATGACGTGGACGCCTACGAAAACACATCCTAGAAGACCCAGTTGGCTACGAAAACACATCCTAGAAGACCCAGTTGGATCCATTCGACGATGATCGTGACCGTCTATGCTCCGAGTGTTCATGTTCAGACCCTTTTCTTGCAAAGGGATCTCTTTCACCTTGTTCAGTTTTTTCTTCCGAGTTAAAAATTTACTGTGGATGTACCGCTTGAAACAAGAAATTAGCTTGGTACACTTTAGCTTGTTAATATTCCATCCCATGGTCGAGCTCCAGTTCTTGCTCTGTTGTCTTTATTGGTTGGCCTGTGCCAATAAATCGGTATTCAAGATTTGGGTTGAACCTTGAATTTTTTTGCCCCTGCAATTTCCTAATATTTACTATCTCCAAAGATATTACACCAAATGATTTACTAGTATTAGTCTACTTTTTGATTTAAAAATGTCGAAATGACTGAACAGTCTCATCATATAAGAGGGAATCTTGACCCTACTTATATAAGAGAGAAAGCATCAAATAAGGGCTTAAAATAGACCTTTTATTAATTTGGATTAATATGACGAAAAATTTTAAATTAGTGCATTCGAGATAAATTTACCTCAAACTAATCTTTTGACCATAAAAAATCTCAAAATGGTATATTTGTGATAATTTTACATTCCGTCGGTTTCAGTTAAATCTCATCATCAAATTTCTAAGTTAGATGATATGTGGCAGTTGACGGGTGTACCGGTTTGAGGTTTTTATCCTCCGTTTGTCACAGGTGTACCAGTTAGCGATTTTTCGCGGTATTAATTCAATTTAATGGAAGGTAAATTTGTCACAAATGTACAAATTTGGAGTTTTTAAATGTAAAAAAAATTAGTTCTTGGGTAAATTTGTCAAGGGTGTACCAATTTGGGATTTTTAATGGTCAAAAAATTGGTTTTGGGTAAATTTGTCACGGGTGTGTCGATTTGGGATTTTTCGTGGTATTAACTCTATTAATTTAGGGGTGTTAGGTTCCCCAGGTGGTCCAATTTTCATCCAGGAAACGGGAACCGGACCGGTGGGACCGGATCCTGAAGAACGAGGAACCGGACCATCATGTCCTAGAACTGGAATGACTGATCCGATCTGAAACCGGTGATTGTTCATAATGTAGACTGCAGTCAATCGCTTGAGGCTTTAGGTAACAAATGCCCTCAACATATGGTAGGATGAAAGAAAATCGTCCTTTTGCTCATACATATTCTTATTTATTTACTTATTTATTTATTGGTCTGAAAGTAGACCTCATGTTAAAAGTACGTCGCGACCGAACTCCGAGCCCTTTTTAAACAACATGCAAAAAGGGGGCTCGCTGTACGTGCTAAGTCTAGGTTCGGGACTTAACTCGGGCTCTCCCAAGCCCATACCATATCGCGACTTAGGGTTTAAGTGTTTAACGTGCAAGTGGTTTATATCAAGGAGTCGCCACTAATCGATTTGGGGTGGGCCGATTAGAAACCCAAATAGGGTGATGGGAGAATCACCCTATTCCTACGAACCAGTGATTAACTAAATTCGGGGACTTGGTTACACTAGTTGGATAACTAATGCCCTTTCTACCATTTTACCCTATTCATTTCGAAAACATTTGTCGGCAATTTGGATTGATTTTAGGACCTTTCTCCTAATATGTGAGGTGATCAAGCGAGTGCATAATCGTGAACGATCGCGATGGGAACACAAAGAATTCATGCACTCTAAGGTTCTAACCCTAACTAAGTCGGATGACATTCAAAAACACAACATTCATGCAATTGTATTAAAAACATGCATAACAATACAACGGTAATAAAAACTAACATGCAAATACTACCGCGCAACCTCAGGCTTGTCTAATTTAAATAAGACAAAAACTTACAAAATAATATCACATTAGATTAAAACAACAACAATATATCACATAAAAAAAAAAATTTTTTTTTTTTAAAAAAAATAAAAATAAAAATAAAAATAAAAAATAAAAAAGAAATAAAAAAAGAAATAAAATACGAAATATTTTTTAAATAAAAAAAAACAAATAAAAAAGAAGAAAGAAAAAGAAAGAAAAGAAAAAAAAAAGAAAAAAAAAATTTTTTTGAAATTTTTTTTAAAATTTTTTTTAAAAAAAAAGCAGTAAAATAAAATAAAATAAAAATAAAAATAAAAAAAAAGGGATCCGGACCGGGTCGGAACCGACCCGGTCAACGGATCCGACCTCCCGTTGACCGGTCGGATCGGGCTGACCGGGTCATGACCGACCCGGTCAACTGATCCGACCGGTCGTTGACCGGCCGGATCGAGCGAATCAATGTTTGGACCGACCAGGTCCAACGGATCCGACCGATGTTGACCGGGTCGGATCGTGAACCAGGGTCGGGCGACCGACCAGAGTCAACAGATCAGGCGGGCGTTGACCGGTCGAATCAATCAACCGGTCGGGCGAACCGGTGGGAGCCGCCCCGTCGAAGCCAAAACGGCCTCTCACCGGCCGACCTGAGGCGGCGCCGCCCCAAATCGGCCTCCGGGAGTAAAACCAAGCCTCTCCACCCACCGGAGTCACCAGTCCGACACGCTAGTTACGCCGTGGCGTCCAAAACAAAACCGGTTTCATTGAGGACTTTTGTCGAACGGATGGTGTGCGCTTCCAAAAACAACAAATCCGACTGTTCCGTGAACCGGAGGATTCAGGCGAATCAACCTACCTTCGGTGAGGACACACGGACGGCGGGGGATGACGGTATGGGCCGGGATTCGCGCGAAACGGCCGCGCGAGTCCCGGCCATACCGAGCGAAAAACGAGCAAAACGGGCGGTTCGGGCGGATCGAGAGCTCACCGTCGAAGGCGCGTCGGGGCTTCCGGTTGATCGGGGCGACGGCGACGCGGCCGGGAACTCCGCAAAACCGACTTTCCCTTCTTTCTCTCTCAATTTTCTCTCTTTCTCTCTCAATTTTTCTCTCTCTGTTTCTCTCTCAATTTTGCCGACCGGGCTCTCTCTCTCCTTTGGCTATTTATAGCCGGACGACGGTGCCCTCTCGCTCCCGTTACGTCGTAATGACGACTGCCGCACCGCCTACTCGGCACGCGACTTTGCGGCCATTTAGGCCGGTGCGGGTGAGATCGATTCGGTGAGGCGCAGAGCGGACGAACGAGGAGGCGAGAGGGAGGAGGAGATAAGGGAAGCCGGGACAACGGGGAGGACGGGGCGCAATTAATGCCGGTCCGTCGGCGTGCTCTCTCGGCCTTCCTCGCCGGATAGCGACGGCGAGGAGCGGCGCCGCCGTGCGTCGGCGTGACGTCGCGAACGAGGGGAGAACAGGGCGAGAGAGCGACCGCGAGGGAAGAAGAAGAAAGGGTGGCCGGGCCAGCCCAACCGTGCGGGGAAGAAAAAGAAGAAAAAAAAGAATGGGCCGGGGGCCGGGAGGGGGAAGAAAAGGAAAAAGAAAGGGTCGGTCGGCCCATTTCCGACCGCCCGAAATTTTTTTTTTTTTTTTTTTTAAATTTTTGTTTAAAATTTAAGAAAATATGCTCTAATAGGCCCTATTAATGCACATATGCCTAATGTCTATATGCAATGCATTTAAATAGAAATATTTTTTGTTTTAGGAATTAAAGAAAATTAATTCCTAAATTTTGTGTAATTAATTTTGGGCAAATTAAAAATAGGTGTCAACAATGCCCTCTTTGAAGGTGAGCTCGCGAGAGATTGAGCTCGCAGAGGTTACGTTCAAAGATAAAATGACACCTAAATTTGGCCCATGTATGTTCAATGAATGTTATTTTTGGCGAGACCGGAGTCCCATTTTTATGATGCGATATAAGATGATGCATGCTAAAGCAAGTAAAAACATACCTGGGGCTACTTACCTTGCCGAAGGGTAGAGTAATTCCGGATAGTTGATATTGTGTGTCGAGGACCCGAACCCGTCTTCGGTCGCCTTGACGGAAAAAATGGTTTGTCTAGGACCCGAACCTTCTTCGGTCGCCTTGACGAGAATTGCTTTTGTCTAGGACCCGAACCTTTCTTCGGTCGCCTTGAGGGGAAATCGCTTGCCTAGGACCCGAACCTATCTTCGGTCGCCTTGATGGATTTCATTTGTCTCGGACCGAACCATTCTTCGGTCGCCTTGAGGGAAATCGCTTGCCTAGGACCCGAACCTATCTTCGGTCGCCTTGATGGATTTCATTTGTCTCGGACCCGAATCTACCTTCGGTTGCCTCGATCGGGGAAATCGCTTACCTAGGACCCGAACCTTTCTTCGGTCGCCTTGATCGGATTTCATTTTGTCCGTCCGGGACCCGAACCTTTCTTCTGTCGCCTTGATCGATGGATTTTGCTGTCTAGGACCGAACCTTTCTTGGTCGCCTTGAGTGACGATTTTGCTGTCTAGGACCCGAACCTTTCTTGGTCGCCTTGACTGACGGTTTTGCTTTACCAAAGTACTCGCATCATAAGGGGTACCGAAAAGACTTGATGTGAACAGAGGAGTTATTCCCTGTGCTCGGGAGGGTGAACAAAGGGGTCAATCCAATGTTCAGTTGGTGAACAACGGGTCACTCCGATGTTCAAAGGGTACCATAACAATCGTAGGTACATGGATTTTTGGAATCGAGCATGGGTAAAATGTACTTACCAGGCACGTTCACGCTCTTAAGGGCGTGTCTCTGTCGAGACAAATTTTTTTGCAAACACATACGTATTCATCGGAGAAATAGACGACGAGGCTATTCTTGAATATCGTATGAAATATCTTGACCAGTGGTCAAGATGCTTTTCTTTTTCAAAGAAACACCTGTTTACCTTCCTGGGTAGTTTGAAAAGAAATCGATGAAATACCTGGATTTCTTACCCGAGGTTTGATGTATCATCTCGCTGAATACCCGACCTTTTCGGGGCATCTCTTTTGTGGTGATAATCAGGGCTTCTCCAGTGCCCGAATTTGCGTGTTCTATCACTGAGGATTAGAACTTTGAGCTGTCAAAGAGGGTTAGCACAAACATGCATGCATTCATCAAGGATAGACAAGCTAGGCTATCCCAGAATGTGTATTTGAAAGTTCATACATGATGATTTCGCCATGTTTGCATCACCAAACATCCACTGAGGGTCAATCAAGACAATATTCACTCGGGAGGTGGACTTCTCAAGATCTTGAACGAGGGATTCTCGACGAAGGGACTTTCCACTCGCTCTCGTTGAAAAGGGTTATTTGTCCCGTCCATTAATGCGGGAACATCGAAAATACTCAATCGACCATTATCGATCCGCAAGGGTCTCGAGTTTTCTCGCAAGCTGCACGACGCTAATCCGAAGGTCTTCTTCGGGTCGTAATGCGAGGCTT